GTCAGACTCCCCTTAATGGCTTTCAGTGACCATGGCACCAGGTGGCCCTTCCTGAGGCAGCTCTGCCTGTCAAGGGTTCTTAGGGTTACCCCAGCTCCAGCTCTCCCATTAAGTCCTGGTTCCACTCGGCTGTGAGTAACGGAGGACCCGGGTTGAACTCCAAGTCCCTGAGTTCTGCCTCAGTGCTTCCTCCCCTGCCTTGTTCAGCCTTTCTGTAACCTGTCGGCTTTCCTCTCCCAGCCTCACTCATTTTGGAGGCCGTGGGGAGGGACAGAGTGGCAGGAACAGGCAGAAATGGCAACCGGTGAACATTTAGGGGGCCCTGGAGAAATGTCCTTCAAGAATGCCTTGTGCCACCCTTCTCCATGGTCAACCCTCCTCACAAGACAGTGGGGGCATCACCTCCCCTGTCCTGCCCTAGCAGAGTTGGGGTGATTCCATAACGCTGGGGTGATTCCATACTGTCCAGATGTGTTGCTGCTGAATAGATATATAATAATGGCACTAATCATAATAACAGTATTTACTGAGTGCTTACTATGGACCAGGCAGTGTTGAGTGCTTTTACATGTACGAACTCATTTAATCCCATAGAATTAGGTCCAGTTCTAACTTTTACAGGTGAAGAAATCGAGGGCCAATCAAGGACCACATTAAGCCCTTAGTCTCAGATTCAGCTTAGACGGGGGTGGGGTGGGGGGTGGAGCCAAGATTCAAACCTGCACCCATAACACTGCACTATCAAGAAGGGGTGTGTATTTTACCGAGCTTTGAATCCTCACAGTCTATCAGAACACACAGCGGGTGCTCAATGAAGTAGGAAGCATCCAGCTGAGAACGAGAAAGGTGCTCCTTGCCTCCCTGTCTGGCTACTGCCCCTACCCCAGCTCCTATCTCCAAAACACTCTCTGGTCCCTGGGTGCGTTCTTCCCGCTCCCACCTACCTACTTCTCTCCTGTGCCCAATGGCCAGCACAGACCAGATCTCAGAGGTCATCAGTCCTGGCTCTTCACCTCCCCGTCAGACTCCCCTTAAGACTCATGTTTGAGAACCAAAGGGAAGCAGCTAGTGACAACTAAAATTAAAATGACTGTGAAGGAGAGTGTCAGCTCGTCACACCCAGTGGGTGTTGGTTTATCGGATTTGATCGGCAGTCTCTGGGGCAGGAAGGGTGGGCTATGCCTGGCTACCAGGAGGGTAGGAGAGTGGTGGCGCCAAGGGAGAATAGCTTGGAGGGGACAGAGCTGGCACCCCGGCCTCCCTTTGGCACTTCCAGTGGCGAGACCCTGGCTGAGATGGGCGTGGGCGTGGCCCAGATTGGGGGCGTGGCCCAGGTGGGCTCACAGCCCTGCGCGCTCTCGCAGGACGGCTACATTGACTTCATGGAGTACGTGGCGGCGCTCAGCCTCGTCCTCAAGGGGAAGGTGGAACAGAAGTTGCGCTGGTACTTCAAGCTCTACGACGTCGACGGCAATGGCTGCATCGACAGGGAGGAGCTGCTCACCATCATCCAGGTAACTCCAGGTGCAGAGGGCTGGGCCAGGGGCGTGGACAGCGGGACCCTGAGCTGAGAGCTCGGGGAAGGATCCACAATCTCAGGATAGAGACCGAATTTGGGACTCAGGGTCCGGGCGATAGTTCTGACCCTCACCAACTGCGTGACCTAGGCTGTGTCGTCTCCCCTCCACTCTTAAGTCCCAGATCTGTCTTGAGGCCCAGGGCACCATCGCCTCCGCTCTCCACAGCTGTTGGGAGCCAGAAAAGCTCTTACTGTCCCCACCACTGAGATAGAATTAGGATGGGATTTTCACTGCTGCCTTTTCCCTCTCAGGCCATTCGAACTATTAACCCCTGGAGCGACACGACCATGACTGCAGAGGAGTTCACAGACACCGTGTTCACCAAGATTGACGTCAATGGGGATGGTGAGGGGGCCAAGGAGGGACTCCCCCAGGGAGGGGTCCCAGGGATAGGAAGTCACCAGGTAAAAGGAGCAGGAGGGGAGGAAGAGGCACAAAGGTCCCTCTGCAGGTCACCTCCTCCATCCTTCTCTGCCCCAGCCACAGAATTAGCTCTTAGGGATCCCTGGACCACACTTTCTGGTCTGTCTCTGACCCTGCCCCTTGCAAGAACTCTGCTCTGGCTCTGCTGGGGTGCACACCTGTAATCCCAGAGATTTGAGAGATTGAGGCAGGACGATGGCAAGTTCGAGGCCAGCCGAGGCAATTTAGGAGACCCTGTCTCAACAGCAAATTTTAAAAAATAAATAAAATGAAAATACAAAGGGCGGTAGCTCAGTGTAGAGCGCCCCTGGGTTCCATCCCCATACCAGGGGAGGAAAATCCAGCTCTAGGCCCTGGACAGCAGACGCGGACACCCTTCCCACCGGGAATCCCTTTCTTTGTACCCCAGGGGAACTCTCCCTGGAGGAGTTCATGGAGGGCGTCCAGAAGGACCAGGAGCTCCTGGACACGCTGACACGAAGCCTGGACCTCACCGGCATCGTGCGCAGGCTCCAGACCGGCGAGCCGGATGACGATGTCCCTGGCAAGGACGCCACCGAGGCCGCCGGCTGAGCCGCGTCCAGCTGCTGCTGTCTGGGGGCCAGAGCTACACGGTGGTGCCTGGCGTCGCTGTTGTGCTTGTCTTAATATTATATGGGGTCTCCCGAATCCAAAGGCTCGGCTCACCTCTTTGGGGTCCAGGGTGGCAGCAGGAGGAGAGGAGGGGCAGAAGTGGGACTCCAGAGTGAAAATGGTTCCTGCCCCCTTCCGGGAGACTCAGCTGTTGGTGATACTCCCTGATGCCCTGAGGTTCCTCCCTCGCCCCTTTGGGGCTCCTCACCCAGCTTTTCCCAGTGTCCCCACTGCATTTCTCCAGTCCACAGTGGAAGCTCTGAGCCCAAGCAGAGGTTTCCTGGGTCTCTGATGGAATTCTACAGATCTATCTGAGTGCCGAGATGGCGGCCTGCCCCAGACCCTGGAACCTACTTGTGTGGTTTGTGTTAATTCTTTCCTCCCTTCGACAAGCCTTTATTGAGCACCTACTGTATATTGACACTAAACATTAGATGAACAAAGAAGTCAATTCTCATCCTCAAAGAACTCATAAGCTCGTGGGAGACACATAGACCAGCATCATTGTAATAAAATTGGCAAAGAAAAGTTATAAAGTAAGGGACCTCTGTAGGAGTTTGACTCAGAGTCAGTATCACAGTGCTGACCTTTGGCTTTGAAAGAGGGCTTGGAGGTTGCCCATGAAGAAGGTGATATGTGTGGGGAGGTCTGGGTGCATTCTCTGTGATGTATGTGCCCCACGTAGGGGCTCTTCTTAGATGTAAGTGGAGGTATTCTTTAAGAGTTAAATTTTAGCTGGATGCAGTGACGCATCCCTGTCATCCCAGCAACACAGGAGGACTATCTCAGTAATTTTAGCAAGACCTTCAGCAATTTAGTGAGACCCTGTCTAAAAATAAAAAATTAAAAAGGGCTGGGGAAGTAGCTCAGTGGTAAGCATCTCTGAATACCAAAAAAAAAAAAAAAAAAACAAAAAAACATGTGGAGCCACACAGTTCCCCACAGGTCTGCAACTCACTGCAAATGACCTGACCATCTGGGTCTACCCTAAATCTTTCTTGCTGCAGTGACACCTGACACCAGTTAGGAAGTGGGACGATCTGTTATAGGTGGGCCTGGACCTGGTTCTTTGCATACTGCATCTTTAAGCATCCTCAAATCAGAGATCTACCCATCCAAAGCAGGTCTGATCAGTTGTGCCCCTGAGTTACAGTTGCCTGGTTGCCACAGAAATCTGGGGAGAGACAAGGGCTAGAATAGTTGTGACCTTTTTCCCAAAAGCCTCTTTCTCCTGGGCTTTGAGTCTTCACTTCAGTTGAGCCCAGGGAAGGTGTGGGGAGTATGTAAAATCCTAGGGGTTGGGCTGGGGTTGTGGATCAGTGGCAGAGCACTCGCCTTGCACTATAAGGCACTGGGTTCGATCCTCAGCACCACATAAAAATAAATAAATAAAATAAAGGTGTTGTTTCCATCTACAACATATATATATAAACCTAGGGATGCAGGGAGAAAACTCAGGGTCAGGGAAATAGAACATCAGGTAGGAGGGTACCATTCCGAGGTAGGCGGACAAGAGGGTGCATTGTGCTCACCCCTGTCCTGCCCCTCCCTTGGATCATCCCAGACAGGAAAGTCAGCCAGGGCCTGAGCAGCAGACACAGAGAGAAGGTGGAGGTCATTGCCAAGGGCATCCTGGGAAAAGAGGGAGCTGACATTGCTGCTCCTTCTCTTGCTGTCTGCCTCTTGGGAAGTCCTGAAGATCAAAGGTATCTATAAATAATTAGGATGACTTTCCCCAGCTTTGTTCATACGTCACCTGCATGATTTGGGGCATGTCTCTGTCCCACCTAGTGTATTATTTTTAAGCAGCCTTTTTTTTTTTTTTTTACCTGAAATTGATTTCTAAGGGACATATGAACATCACGTGAAATATCATACCCATAAGCCCTCAGGTTCAATGGGTTTGTTTTATTTTTTTATGCATCAACACACAAGCATGTCTACCCAAGGTAAAGCAAACATGCTTCCAGATCCCACCACAAACCGTCTCACAGGGGTAACACTGCTCAGGGTGCTGGTTTCCACAGTCTGTTCTCAGAGGTGTCTCTGGAGTCTCCAGAGGTAGGAGGGATCTGAGCTCCCCAACCTCCTTCAACTAGAAGGTCTCTCTTTTAGTCTCTACATTAAGGTTGTACAAAAGAGTTGTAAAACAGAAAAGAATGCCACATCTAAAAACACGACAATCTGAAAACTGCTGTCGAATCCAAGCTGCACAAGGTTGGGGAAGAGAAATGGCCTTCTGGAGTCCCATGGCCATTGGAGGCAAAGTCTGGCCTAGAACTTAGGTCCGCAGACCCCTGATTCTCCCCAGAGGCAGAGAGGGTTCTCCATCTTCTAAACGAATGAGGGAAGGTCCCTGTTGGGGATGTGGGGGAGAGGTGGAAGGGGTGGATAAAGATGGAGGGTGGGGAAGAGGGTGGGGGAGCAGGGCTGGAGGGCAGCACCAGGCAGGGCTCAAGCAGCCCCTTTAAGCACAGCAGCCTCTACAGCGGAGGACCACAGCCTGCTATCTTATTTTCTGAAGCTTCCCTTGTTAACACCCCTGATGAGGACGCCTGGGGAGGAGGTGGGCAGGGTCCTCCCTGTGGGCCCTCCTCGGGATCCCCACTCCTACCTTCTCTTCAGCTCCAACACCTCCCAGCCCTGCTTCCTTCCATGCTCTCTTCCACTCCGTAAGTGTGGGGTCCTCATTCTGATTTGGTCTATGGGGCCTCCGCTACTCAGGTGGCCCCTGCTTCCAACTGAGAACACCTAGAAATCGGAGGGGCCCCTACAGTCTCCTGGCCAAGGCATATTTTCCCCTGAGCCACCGTGGGGGCAGCTGAGCGCCGTCAGCCCTGCAGACTGGCCCCATCGGCCCCTGCCCACCAGGGAAGGACTGTGCCCTTCCTGGCCCCACTCACTCCTGCCCAGGGGGTGCCAGCAAGTCCGCACCAGGGAAAGCGTGGGCAGGAGCAGGCTGGCCCAGGGACTCTCCTGCTACTTTGAAAACTTGGGTGAGCCTGCAGTCTGCCACAGGCCTCCCAGGGTCTGGCCCCTCAGAACATGGCACTTTTCCGTCTCTGCTGAGTGATCCAGCCACTGGGATTCATGTCCATCTGCAGCATCTTCATCACCCACTTGTCACGACGGGCACCGTCCACGAACTCACTCAGGGACAGCCGACCTGAGCACGGGGCAGGAGACATGGTCACTGGGAAGAAGGCAAGACCTGGAGCTGGGGGCAGGACAGAGACCTTCCCTCCTAAGAGGCATCTGCCCCTCTTCTACAGACCAATCCGCAGAATAGAGTCCAGAGCTTGTGGCTGGTCAATGTTCTGATTCTCCAGGAGTCTCCTGGGGCCTAGAAGAGGCTTTCTTGACAAGGGACTGTAGCTTTACTCTTGCGCACAGCACCTCTGAAATGCTGAGCGGTCCCTGAAGACTCTTTCCAAGAGTGTCCCAAGCCAGTTCCCGTGCACAGCGCTGGAGGGCTGGGCCCTGAGCTGCAGAGCCGGGAGCTCAGTGGCCTGAACAGACGCCTCCCCTGCCAGGCTCTACTCACCCTCCCATTTGTTCCCCTCAGCCACTCTGGTTGTCTTCACTTTCCAGGTGAGGAAACCGAGGCCAGGCTGAGGGGTTAACCTCCAAAGTTCCTATTCCTTCTGCTCGCTTGCCTGGCCTCCTTTGGTGACTCCCGGGAAGTTTTAATCTCTCACAAACACGTGCGCTGTGTGACACCCTTTGGTATTTCATGTTGTCCTCTCCTCAGCCAGCTCACCCATGAGAATATCAGCAGTCGGGAAGTGGCATATTGCCACTTGCCACGGCATATGGCCAGAAGGTGGGGATGATGGAGAGCAGGCAGCCCTCCTCCCCGGTAGCTCCACCCCTTACCGTCCGCGATTTCATCCACCAGGTAGAAGATCCTGTCCACGACCTCCTCGGGTGTGAGCATCTGGCCCTGCTGCTCTGTCTCTGTCTCGATGCGGCAGGCCTTCTTCAGCTTGTAAATCGCCTGCCAGAGAGGAGAGGACTCAGCTGTCCTGCCAGACACCCTGCAAGCCTCCTCTCTTCCCACACCCCTCAGTGCCACCTCTGCAGCGCTGGCCCCAGGCCGTGCATCTTCGTGTCACAGGAGCCAGATCTAAGCCAGATCCACCTGTCCAAAACGCCAGTTGTAATACCCCCTGAGGACTTCCTGGCCTCAATCTGCCCTTCCCCGACACCATTTCCATTCCCACTACCATCTGCAGAGGGATGGGATGACTAAGTCATCAACTCACACTCCGATCTACAGAAAAATAAATAGAGATGCAGAGGAGGAAAAAAAATTTAGTGTCATCTCTGTGTGTATAGGTGTCAAATAGTGTGACGGGACTGGAAGCAACCTTCTCCTTTGCCCTGTGTCCTTGCCAATGGGATGACATTTGCAAAGGTACCATGTAAATGCAGAAGAGATGGGAAAACTTGAGGGTCCTCCCTGGTCCCCAGCTGGGTGCTGAGGACAGAGGCTGCATGGTCTTGGTCTCCAAGGCCTCACTGCCCAGTCCAGCACTGGCAGAGCACAGGCCCCACTAAACAGGCCCGGGGGACCTGAGGGGATGCCCTGAAATCCAGCTCCAGTACTTCCTATGTATGAACGTGGGCAGACCAAGAGCCTCCAGGAGGCCACTTCCTTCTCTGTAAGCCAGGGCCAGCAACGCCCACCTTATGTAGTTCTGGGGATCCACTGGCTGCCACAGGAAAAGTGTCGGGAGCCTGTGACACTAGATGCCACCTTTCCTCTTTGATTATTCCTGCTGGTTGTCTATCCGTTTTGTTTGTTTTTTTAAAAGAAAAACTGGTTTTCTCTAAAGCACTTGTTTTTTATTTTATTAATTTCTACTCTCTATTGTTTCCTCTTGTATATTTTCTTTGGATTTAATTTACTCTTTTTTTTCAATTTCTCTAGATGACTTCTTAGATCATTAGTTTTCAGCCTTTCTTATTTTTTTCATATAGACATCTTAAGACTATAAATTTCTCTGCAAACCCAGGTGCTCCACATGTTTTGTTATGTCACGTACGACAGGTGTGCGTCCTGATTCAATTCAAACCACTGCGTCTATGTGTGTGTGAGAGACAGACAGAGGGGGAGGTAAAGAGAGAGGGAGAGAGACTAACGTGATTTCTCGGGTTCGTGGAGTATTGGGAAGGGTGTTGCCAAAGTTCCAAACAGAGATTTTTCTACTTAACTCTCGGCCGCTGATTTTCAGCTTGATTTCACTGTGGTCAGAGAACACGTTCTGAATAATTTCAGTGCCTCTTCCCAACCCCACCCAGAGGCTCTCTTCAGCGGGCCCGCTGTGGCCAGCCCTCCGCGCCCCAGCAGTGCCTAGCACCCGGGGAGCCTGCTTCCAGGCAGGGACACCAACCTCCACGATGTCCAGGAGCTCCAGGCGGTCGATGCAGCCGTTGCCGTCCTTGTCGTAGATCTTGAAGGTCCACTTCAGCTTGTGCTCCAGGGAGCCCCTCAGCACGAGGTTCAGGGCCGCCACGTACTCCAGGAAGTCGATGGTGTCGTCCTGCACGGGGTGTGGATGCTGCTGAGGCCCCTTCCAGAGGGTGGCAGTGAGCTCTACGCAGGGTGACCCATCCCTAGAGAATCAGGGCTTTCCCTAGTCTCTGCAACCCACATGGCCTCTGCGTCATTGCACATGCTGTTCTCCACCCCCAGACCTTTCCCACTGGCAGTGGTCACCCAATCCTCCCTGTCCCTAAGGCTCAGCTCGAAAGTCCCCTCCTCCAAGAAGCCTTCCTTCTTGTACTGCTTGGGCCACAGCCTCTGTGTGGGTCTCTGTCTCTCCCTCCCTCCCTGTTTGCAGGCTCACAGAACCTGCTGTATTCTCCTTAGTTTGGGGCCAACTCTGGCAGCCTCCTCTCCCTCCTGGAGAACAGAGAGGGCTGGTATTGCTTGCGTTTCTTCTCCATGCCTAGCTCAGTGCCACTTGTGCGTAGAATTGAGGTCCTGTACATACTTATGAATCCTGAGCAAATGATCGACTTGATCTGAATTTGGGACTTAAGTAGTTTTGAAAGATCAGGAAGCAGGACTCATTAATATTTCCCCTTGCATGCACATTCACCCCGAGTGCCCGGGAAGGGCAGGCAGTGGCTCCAGTCCCCTCTCACCTCTAAGCCTAGGTGGACATTACATGGAAGGAAGGGCCTGTACCCCCACTCCATCCAGGAAGGGTAGGAGGAGGTGGAACGCAGTTGGAAATTGGGAACTGGAAGGAGGAGGAGCACAGCCTACTCTATAGATACCCTGACAAAAATGAAACTTCTTGGGACAGAAATGTGACAGCAACCATTATTCCAAAAGTAGTAATCAAGAAACTGGAGAAATAGATCCTTGCTTTTCTCCCCAAAATGTGTGTGAGGTGAAGGGCTGGTGGTATGGAGGCCACAGAGGGTTGGCTGGGCCAGGGTGTCAATTATAGGAGTTCACTTATTCCAGAGTTGGGACCACTGCTCTCCAAATGAAAAACCTAAGCCATCAGCTCCCCCGGGAATATCATCATTCACGTGACTTTGGAATTAGTGAGGACATCAACGGCTCAGAGCACTTCTGTCCCATTGAGTCAGGCCACTCAGGGAGCCTTAACCAAGGGGTACCCAAGTGGGCAAGGTTTGAGCAACAGGATAAAAATGGCAGAGAATGAGGGAAATAGCAAAAAGACTGAGGAAAAAATAAGAGGAAAGTAACCCTAGGCTGCCTCAACACCAAGGGTTTTATTCAACATATTTTATTTATCATTCCTACAAATACATGGTTCTCCTGGCCCCCCTCCCCATATACTTATCTAATTGGGGTAAAGCTATGTTTGTAGTTTTATTTGCTGGATGTCCATTTAACATCTTCTCGTGTTTATAAGAATTATATAAACTATCAATATTTGTGGGGCTTGGGGGTACTGGGCATTCCCTTCTGTGAAACATATTTTTAATATTTTATTTTTAAAAATATGCATTTATTTATTGATTTATAGCAGGGAATAAATCCAGGGGCACTTAACCACTGAGCCACATCTGCAGCCCTTTTTATGTTTTATTTTGAGATAGGGTCTTGCTAAGTTGCTTAGCGCCTTGCCAAGTTGCTCAGGCTGGCTTTGAACTCAAGATCCTCCTGAGTCAGCCTCCTGAGCTGCTGGGATTACAGGTGTATGCCATCATGCCTGGCTCTAATATTTTATATTGCATAGGGAACATTGATGTGTATTTTTTTTTTTTTACATATTTCTGATACTGTCTTTTCTTTCTTCCTTCTTCCACCTGTCCCTCCCTGTACTGAAGGTTGAACCCAGGGGCTCTACTACTTGCCTACATCTCTAGACTTTTTTCTTTTTTTTATTTTGAGGAAGGACCTTGCTAAATTACCCAGGCTGGCCTGGGAACTTGAGACCCTACTGCCTCTGACTCCTGAGTCACTGTCTAGTAATTTCTTTGGAGTAGATTCTTACGCAGTGGTTATTTATTCTTTTGGAAGGCTATTTTCTTTTGTACTTATTATTTATTAAGCTTACTACAAGCCAAGCACAGTGACGCACGCCTGTAATCCCAGTGGCTTGGGAGGCTGAGGCAGGAGGATCACGAGTTCAAAGCCATCTTCAGCAACAGCAAGGTACTAGGCTACTCGGTGAGACCCTGTCTCTAAGTAAAATACAAAAAAAAAAGGGTTGGGATGTGACTCAGTGGTTGAGTGCCCCTGAGTTCAATTCCCCCCAAAACTTACTACAAACCAATCCTGTGTTTCTTCTTTAATAAAAATTGAGTATAAAAATCTATTCTCGTTTTATAGATGAAAAGTCTGAGACTTGGAGGTGCCCAAGCTACATGTCTCCTCCAGTTCATCAAGTTGGAAAAAAACTTCTGTTCTCCACTCAAAGTTTCTCTCCTTCCTTCTTCCCTTCCTTCCCTGCTCCCCTCTCTTTTTAATTATTTCTTTCATGGTGCTGGGGATGGAACCTAGGACCTCACACATGCTGGGCAAGCTCTCTATCACCGAGCTACACCCCCAGTAACAAGGTCTAGCAAATGAGTCTGATGTCTAGAGGTACCAAGGAGGGTAAAAAACCCCACAAAATCCAACCCCCGACAAAGTCTCCAGGTTTCTAGATTCTCCCTCATTCTTTGTCCAGAAACTTCTGGTTCCAAACCACCTCTCTCAATGTGAGTCAGTGGAGAGAAGATGATTCATTATTTGCTTCTCCTCAAAGGGGAGGTCACTGCACACCCCAGGACCATTTCTGGGAAGCTTCTAGATGGTGCTAATCTCATCTGTTGTGCACAGACCTAGTCAGCTCCAATTACCCAGAGGCCTGTGAGGGGTGGAAATGTCTCATCTGCTGTGGAGTGGGGTGGGCGTGCCGTCTGCTCTGGGGGATTATATGCCTCATTTCTCTCTGAATTGGCTGTATTTGTGCACCATCCCTGACCCCAATGCTGTTATACAAGAATCCCAAGTGACGTTCAGCTTTCCCCCTCTCTTTCCTTCCATCCCAGGGTGTCACAAGGCTAATTCTGGAGAGAGAAGAGAGTCGCAAGGGAGTAGAGGGGCAGAGACAGGGTATATCTATAGCTCTGTCTCCACCAAACCCATTTCATCACCCTGGATTTGGACATGTGAGATGGATCTTTGAATTCTTTTCATAATTTTTGTTCTAAAAATCTCAGACCAGTCAGGCGCGCTGGTGCACGCCTGTAATCCCAGCAGCTTGGGAGATTGGGGTGGGAGGGTTTCAAGTTCAAAGCCAGCCTCAGCAACTTAGTGAGGTCCTAGCAACTCAGTGAGACCCTGTATCTAAATAAAAAACACAAAAAAGGGCTGGGGATGTGGCTCAGTGGTTAAGCTCCCCTGAGTTCAATCCCCTGACACACACACAAATAAAATAAAAATAAAAATCTCAGACCAATTGTCCAGAAATAAAACTCTGATATCAAGATTCTGCTGAAGAGCTGGGTGGAGCTCAGTGGTGGAGCACTTGTCTAGAGTGCAGGGGCCTTGGGTACCATCCCCAACATAGGGCAAAAATGATTGTGCTAAGGCAGGGGATGGTAGGTTTAGAGACAGAGACTACATGGGAAAGAAAGAAGGCTCAGTCCCTGACAGAGGAGCTCAACACCTTCCAGGGAAGCTCTTCCTTACAGCAAGATGCTAACTACTAAAGAAGGATGGTGGAGTCAGAAAAATATCAACAGATGCCCAAACTGGTAGATGATGATTTGATGAGCAATACTATATTTGCTGTCTCCAGGGAGATCCCGATAAGATACTTATTAATTGCAAAGAAAATACAGTAACTACCGTGGAGAAACCAAAAAGACACCACCTCCACCAAAAGCTTGAAGTTATTTCAGTCATGGGTTGAACCAACATCATGTACCCCATATGAAGCCCTGAGGGGGCCATGACATCACACCCATGGCCTTTTTTACTGGAATCTGAATCTCATGAGGAAATACTAGACAAACCTGAATTGTCAGATCCTCTACAAAATAATTAGGGCTAAAGCCTTAAAAAATGTCAAGCTCAATTAAAACAAAGACTGAGATTGAAGCTTCCAAATTAAAAGAGACATGTCAGATAAATGCAGTGTGCGATCAGACCAAAAAAAAGAAGAAGAAGAAGAAGTTGGGCATGGTGGCACATGCCTATAATCCCAGCAGTTTGGGAGGCTGAGGCAGGAGGATTGCGAGTTCAAAGCTAGCCTCAGTAAAAGCAAGGTGCTAAGCGACTCAGTGAGACCCTGTCTTTAAATAAAAATACAGAATAGTACTGGGGATGTGACTCAGTGGTTGAGTGCTTCTGAATTCAATCCCCAATACCAAAAGAAAAGAAAAGAAAGAAAGAAAAGAAAGAAAGAAAGAAAGAAAAGAGGGGGTTGTGGCTCAGCGGTAGAGCACTAGCCTTGTACGTGCGGGACCCTGGGTTGGATCCTCAGCACCACATAAAAATAAGTAAGTGAAATAAAGGTATTGTGTCCTACTACAACTAAAAAATAAATATTAAAGAAGAAAAGAAGTTATAAAATTTTAATTTTAATTTTAACCAAACTTGAATATGGATGATTAAAAGACAATAGAAATTCAATGTTGAAACTTCCAGATTTATTTTTTTGGTGGGCAGTATTGGGGATTGAACCCAGGGGCGCTCTATCACTGAGCTATATTCCCAGCCCTCTTTATTTTTTATTTTTACACAGGGTCTTGCTAAATACCCAGGCTCGCCTGGAGCTAGTAAACCTCTCGCCTCTGCTGGGATTTCAGGCGTGTGCCACTGCACCCGGGTGATCAAATTGAATTTTAAAATTAAATTCCTACATGTGTATACAAAATTTAGCTATCTTCTTAGCTGCCAGTGCCATTGAAGAGCTTAAAGAAGCCCTGGGTTTGGATGGCTTCATGAGACCCTCCATGACCTGGAGAGTGGAAAAGGACTTTGCCCAGGGATCCAGCCACTCTCCCGAGTGGCTATAGCCTCCTCTAGCACCCATGACAGGGAAGACCTGGCCAGCCTCAGTTCAAAGGACCCCAGCAAGGGGCAGCTCATGGTGTGTGCTAAGACATCTTGTCCCATTTGGGACATCTGCTTAGCTCCTTGGGTTTAGACAGAGAGGGGCTCTGGCAGGTGTCAAAACCTTAGGTCCTTAGGCTATAGAGCCTCATCCAAAAACACACAAAGATAAGCCCTGGACGGTCAGACACCTTCAGGTCTCAGAAACAAGATGCAGACAGCATAGGATAAATGCTGAGAGAAAGGCAGGAAAGACAGAGGGAAAGGGACAGAATAATGGGGAGAGAAGAAAAGAATTTGAGGGAATTGAGACTGAGGAAGAGCAGAGGGCTCGGGGGTTTAGGGGTTATCCCAGAGGATGCATCTTGGTCAAGTATGCCAAGGGTGCCAGCTGGACCGGCCACAGGTCCTCCCTCTAGGCGGTCTTACCCCATTCTTGTCGAAGGCTCTGAACATGCCCTCTACGTATTGGGTGGCCTCCTCATTGTCTGTGACCTTGAAGAAGCGTTTGAACTCGTGCATGAAGAGGGTGCCACTGGGGCACTCCATCACAAACTTCTTGTACCACTCCTGGAGCTCGGCCACGTCCATCTCCCCAGACGTCTCCACCTCCTCCCAGCTGAACTGCTGCCCCATCTTGCCCTGAGGAATGTCAGGGGGTAAAGGTCTGTGTCTTCTCTTGGGCCTCTGCTGACTGATTCCCTAGGCTAGGGCTCTCTTCCTCCCTCTCCTTTACTTGACCAGCCTATTCATAGTCTCCCGGGTAACTGAACATGATGGACAGGGTAGGGCTGACAGCCTGGCGGGGCAGGCCCAGACCAGCTAAGCTGCCCTAAGACCATTAAAAGATTCTTCTGGAAGGTTTGACCTCCAGTCTGCTAAGCCCCCTCAGCCCCACCCCTCTTGTTAGTTCTGCTAACCAAGCACCTAGGCTGATCCAAGAGGACCCAGAAATAAAAGAAGGGAAGAAACAGGAAGATGTAGGTGGGAGAGAGATGACAGGCTGGCACACTCCCATCTCACATACCCTGCCTTCCTTTTTAATTTGGTACAGCAAGGCTCAGAGAGGCCCATCTTGGAGATACAGAAGACTCTAAAATCCAAAGAAGAAGGAAGACCAACTTCTAGCCCTTAGAATAGAACCTTCTGGTGATCTGGTCTCGTCCTTCCATGTGATCTGCAGAATCTGTGGTGGAAAGGGTTCCAGGGGAGCAGCTGTCCTCAGCACACTAGGGGCCGTTCCCTTACAGATCAGGCCTGAGTCTTGGAAGTTTTTCATTTTCTAGTTCAAAATACAAATGCTTCCCTCTAACCCACCCAATCCTTTCTGACATTCCCTCCAAAGTTCTAACATAGGAGAAGGATCTTGGGGAATGGCCACAATACCTTTGAAGGCTCTCACTTTTATAGTAAAGGTCATGCAATCTGCTTTGGATCAATTATATACGCATGCTTATTTTTTAGTTGTAGTTGGACACAATACTTTTGTTTTATTTATTTATCTTTATGTGGTGCTGAGGAGTGAACCCAGGACCTTGCACATGCCAGGTGAGCGTTCTACCACTGAGCCACCACTCCAGCCCTGCAGGCTTATTTTAATATAAAAATAATACTTCCAAGAAATCAGAAGACCCACAGAAGTAATTTTTCTAGATTTTAGGGGCTAAAGTTCTGGTGAATCAGCCCTTAATCAAGGGGTAGCACTGCCATCCCCACTGGATATGCATCCCTGAATTGTGCTTACCTCCCCTCGATGCTCCTACTCCAGAACACCCCCAATTCCTCAAAGTTCTTTGAACCTTCTTGCCATTCCCAAAATGGGAACCCCCTCCTTTGCCAGCCCTTCAAGTACTAGGGGAGTTTCTTCCATATTCTTCAAGGACTAGGGTAGGGCTAGTGTCCTCCTTGCTTCTTACCATTGCTTCCTGATGGCTTCTTGTCTTTTCTTTCTCAAAAATGCCTGTCCCATGGGAGCCATATCTGACTCCACCCCCTGTTTACTCTTTCTGTTGACATCATTTGCTGGGGATGTCACTTCTTGTCTCAAAGCAGCAAATATTTCAGTGACTTGAACATCCAGGCTGATAACTGACCACCCAGTCCTCTTAGTTGCAAAGTGTTTTTCTCCTCCCAACCTTGACCCCTGACCATACCCTTGTGGTCCAGGGCCTGCAGCTGCAGCATCTGGGAGCTTGTTAGACATGCAAATTCTCAGCACACACCTCCCCCCCAAGATGAATGGGCAGCTTTGGGGATGGGGCCCAGCAATTTAGCAAACCCCAGCCCTCCTGTGCTTCTGACATACAATAACATCTGAGAAGCACAACCCTAGGCTTTGCTGTCATTGATTTCTCAACTGCCTCTGAAACAGACATTGCCTGTTTTTTTTTTTTTCAAAATTTTTACTTGTAGAAAGACAAAATACTTTTATTTAATTTATTTATTCTTTTTTAAAATATTTTTTTATTTACATTTTAGTTTTTGGCAGACAAAACATCTCTATTTGTATGTGGTGCTGAGGTTCGAACCCGGGCCGCACGCATGCCAGGCAAGCGCGTTACCGCTTGAGCCACATCCCCAGCCCCTATTTATTTATTCTTATGTGGTGCTGAGGATTGAACCCAGTGCCTCACATGTGCCAGGCGAGCTACAACCCCAGCCCAGACATTGCCTTCTCTAGTCAGCCTCTCTAATGGCTTATTCTAATACCTGCACTGCAGTAATTCACCAATCTGAGTGACACTTCCATCTTGTTGATCTAGCATCTGTCACCTTGCTCATGTCCTCTTTTCCTCCTTGTCCTCACCCCACTGCCCTGCGTGCTTGCTGTTTCCTTGACTTCTCTGCGCCCCCTCTCCCTCCAACTCCCTTGGCAAAACCAGGTCCTGGTCAATGCTACTTACTGTGTACTAACACCTCACCGCACCCAGGAGACTGAGCACTGCTAGAGATGATCCTAAAATCACGCTGGCTGCACACACTTCAAATAATGGTGGACTTTCATGCTCTTCCCCGCCAAAGTCACTCTTCCTCTAGAAAAGACTTCCTGCCTCCACACCTTCCATGCACTCCCACGGGCGCAGTGACCAAGTGGCATCCTTCACAGAGAGACAGAGGAGCCAAACAGCAACTTTTTCCACCAATGTTTACCAACTTCTGTGTCTCTGTGCCCACATCCTCTGCCCTCTTCTGCTGCAGTGGAAGCGGCATCCCCTGCCCACTTCCTTACCTGTCTGCCCTGACACTTGCTTCCCAGATGATGTCTCTTTTCACCTACTAGACTTTGTTCTCACGATTCATCCTTTTCTCTTCTGCAGCTTCGATTTCTAACAGATCACACCTGTCAGCATTCAGACATGCTTTAATATTACCTGAATGAAAACAAGACAATCTGTCCTGACCACACATCCAGGACCACATCATGACTTTGGTGGGCCACACTTTTGTCTTCATGGGTCATTATGTAAAAATTAGATAAGTAAATATTAAAATTATATTTCATCACTCAGTATAAAAATGAAGATTGTGTTCATTTTGTCTTTGAAGGACTGGGAATCAAAGCCAGGGCCTTCACATGCTAGGCAAGCACACTAGTGCCGGGCTACACCCTGACCCCCTTTTAGATTTTGTTTTGAGACAGAGTCTTGCTAAGTTGCTGAGGTTGGCCTGGAACTTGTGATCCTCCTGCCTCAGCCTCCTGAGTCATTGGAATTATAGTTGTGGGCCACTGCATCTGGCTCACCTTTTATTTTGATTTTTAAAAGAAATTTAATTCAGGTGCAGTGGCTCATGCCCATAATCCCAATGGCTCAGGAGGCTGAGGCAGGAGGAACACAAGTTGGAGTCCAGCCTCAGCAATGGTGAGGCACTAACCAACAACTTAGTTGTTGCTGTTTTCTTTCTTTCTTTTTTTTTAGTACCAGAGATTGAATTTAGGGGCACTCAACCACTGAACCACATCTCCAGCCCGATTTTGTATTTTATTTAGAGACAGGGTCTCACTGAGTTGCTTAGGGCCTTGGTTTTGCTGAGGCTTGCTCTGAACTTTCGATCCTCCTGCCTCGGCCCGAGCTAGTGGGATTACAGGTGTGTGCTCTACAGAGCCCGGCTGTTGTTACTGTTTTATGCCACTAAGTGTTCGATGTTTTCTAAGGTAGCATTAGATGACCTGAACATTCACGAACCTGCTCTGCATTCTCTCCCCCACCCCCGCTACCCTGAGTGACACATTTCACTGTGCAGAGTTGGGGTCAATTACTTGTGACATAGTTGCTGCTTGAAGATAACAAATCTTAAAATCGACAAAAGCCTGAAGTCAAAGGGCAGGACCTGGGCTATGACCCCTGCTGCTGATCCCCAGGTCTGACAGTTTGCACCAGAGCCCTCTGAGCACCTAGTCCTCTGCCTGGGTCCTAAGAGGCTCACAGAGGTGCTCTGACTGTGTAGGTGGTGCGGGGCTGTCATTGGGGGGTGGGAAGAAACTGGCTCCATTTTAGCTGCTTCACACTCTGTTCGCCGACATCGCTGCATTTCTCTGGTGTTCATGGTCAGCCTTCTGCCATAGTCTCTGCAGTCCACGGGCTCCACGGCCATCATGGTGGCTTTAATTCGGCACCCTCTTGTAGGTCTGAAGTTTGACCCTGATTCTGAATGTGAAAGTTCGAAAGTTGGTGATCTGGAAAACTTCTTCAAATGCCTGCTCATTCCTCTCTTTTAATTCCTCAAGAGAAGCAGTATTTTGTCCACGGATGGTTTCAGCAGACTCCTGGAAACAAGTCACTCATTGATTCTCTTGGAAATCCGTGATATTCACTGACAAGATCAAACTGGCAAATTCACTGTCGCACTTTTCACAGTGGAATAATCCATTCTGTTGGTCAATCGCTTTCTCACTGCAGTCCTAGGTCAGGCAACCTGGTGCACACAGTTCTCTTTGCAAAATTACACCACTGTTGCCAAGAGCTAAGCTAGCCTGCCTTGTCACCCTGGCCAGGTTCTCCGATTTAACCTCTCGTAAAGGTTTTCCAGTTGGAATTGCTCCCTCCTCCTTTTCCACTCTTTAGATCAAGATGGAAACACCATACAAGGCTTGTACTTGTGAGTCGAACCATCCCCACAGTTTAGAGGCCTGTGGGATGTCACAATGATAGTGCTTGAAAACAGCATGGAAAGAAAGCCTCCATCAGAGACTTTGGCTCCTTCCATGGCATCACGGGCTAGAACCATAGAACTTGTCAGCATCTTCTCCCCAGAGAGTAGCAGTCACTACTTGCCCTGACAAGTCCATCACAGAGATGCTTCTTTCAGCAACTTCTCTGTTGTTACACTTTGTTGCGATTTTAATGGCATCTTCATAGCTCTTGCAGATGCAGATTATGTTCTCTATGTCACCAATCCCTGTGATGATGACCATCGTCACAGGGCATAACTGAAATCTCATTTATTGAATGAGTCTTTTTTTTTTTTTTTTGGACTGGGGATTGAACTCAAGGGGCACTCAACCACTGAGCCACATCCCCAGCCCTATTGTGTATTTTATTTAGAGACAGGGTCTCACTGAGTTGCTTAGCACCTGGCTTTTGCTGATGCTGGCTGTGAACTCATGATTCTCCTGTCTCAGCCTCCTGAGCCACTGG